AAATTGTACAATCTCATCCATCTCCTCTAAGTGTTCTTAAAATTAAAAACATTGAGCCTCGTGCAAGAATTGTTTGTATGAACAGATTTGTTCTTAAGTTGTGTGTATGGGTGATTTAGGAGAACTTATAGCATTCACCAATTTTGTCATATTGTAAGATTTTTTTAGATACAAACAAAATTCATAAGTGGTCCAGACATGTCACATATTTTATGTGCAGTCAGTTTGATGTTATCAGATTTTTTTACTAATAACTTTATATTTCATTAGTTTGAAGATATTTTGAGTTGAAAATAAATCACACTCCATAATTATGTTGACAATAGGCTATTCTGTTTGAATTAGAGTTGTAATTTTAAATGTAATAATGTAGACTGACGACATAAATTGGTTAAATTTATAACACTACAATATTAAAATGAAGATCTCAAACTACAAACCAACTTTAAATTATGTGTTAATTGAAGTTTGGAGACATTTTAAAATGCGTCTTTTCAGAACCGCGTCTGATACCACTTGTGACGGCGAGGTGGGGGAGACGGTTGTGGTGGATGCGTCACTTCATTCCTCGGCTTTAGTGGCTCCACAGCTAAAAATGACAGATTTTGTTTTCTGGATCTCTGAGAGCAGGACTTCAATATCCAAACTTGTGAAGTTCTTCTTTTTACTTTGCAATGTAATTTATGAATGGACACTTCCTGGTATATGGGGCAAGTTACCTTATGTGGTGTTTTTGGGGTGGTAATAATGCTAATCTCCTCTCCTCGTGTGCGAGCACCTGATGCACATTCACCAGGTTATGCAGCTCATTTAAACACTTCCTGAAGCTAGAAGAGTTTGTTGAATCTGACGTGACATGTTCGTACGAACCCTTTGTACGAACAACAATAAGAGAAATTTAGGATAAGAATACAAACATGTTCTTGCATGAGGCCCAACGTTCTCTTACTTGTTTTGCTGTAATGAACAACTAAAAGTTAGGTCGATCATTTTTAACTTGTTTTGCAGCAACTGGACAAGGACACCTTCTTGTCATAGATTTGACTATACGCTCCTTTTATATATCAAAGTAACAGATAATAAACTCAACTACAGCAGAACATATACGTCAACTCTCAAAAACACTTCTGCATATGAAAAACTGACTGCTTAGAGGTGATTTCTACAACCTTGTGGGTATATCTTTACAGAATATAGAAAGAATAATAACTCTTTTGGACCCCAGTAAGAATAGCTGTAGTTCTACTGAAAAAAAAAAACAAACAAAAATAAATTAAAAAAAGATAGTAAATCTTCTCTTTAAAGCCAGTATTTTTGTTTTTTATTTTGGCAGTTTGAGAGTAGTTTCTGACTCAGAATTGCAAAAAGCATAGGCAAATAGTTTTACTAATGTTTTTGACCAGTGAGTCATGCAGCCACATCTTACATGGCAGTTTTTTTTTAAGTCATAGCCTATTTTTGTGTGTACAGCTGCCACCAACAAGTCTCTGTGGTCACAGCCCATTGAGATACTTGTCTAAGTTTTAGATTTGTGGACAATAATTTATACCATCTGAAGCCAACATTGAGTAAAATTAAATCTGACCAACAGATGACTGCGTGGCACTAATGCTGCTGATTGTGTTGCTACAAACAGTGGAATTGTGTTTCTGCAACTTTATTTCTACTCTAAACTTTGACGTCTGCACTCTCTCCATCAGGAGCTTCCTGCATCTCGGGGCCGGTCTGAGCGTGGGGCTGAGCGGTCTGGCGGCCGGATTTGCCATCGGCATCGTGGGCGACGCCGGAGTGCGGGGCACCGCTCAGCAGCCTCGGCTCTTCGTGGGCATGATCCTGATCCTGATCTTCGCTGAGGTGCTGGGTCTCTACGGCCTCATCGTGGCCCTCATCCTGTCCACAAAATAAGTGTCTCCATCCATCGCCCGTCTCATTCATTCCACATCCGAGCGGCAAGAACAAACAGGAGACCTTCACCTTCTTCCATGACACCCTGTGGATCTGACAGGATGGGATGGCAGCAGAAATAATGTTGGCGGTCGCCTTTCTGACAGCTTCGTTCTCAGTAGATGTGATCCATTTCATATTGTTTGAAGCCATGCGGTTGTGTCAGGTCTTGTGCGTGCAGAACGGGCATGAACATGTACTGTTTGTTGTGAGATGATGTGTGGACAGTCTGCCTGATATATCGTCTAATCTTAAAACTGTACAGTGATCCAGAGTCCTCCCACCCTCAGTAAATGTAGTAACCAGTCTGTGATGTGAGTGAGTATCAACGGTTACCCCCCTTCCTTTGGGTTCTTGTCTTAAGTTGGTGGTTTTTAATCGTCATTCTTTGTTTTGAGACTGCTGAAAACTTGTGCACACTAGTATTTTATTTTTTCATGTTCTTTTCTGGGACCATTTTTGAGCTTTTTTTTCACTATTTATGGAAAGTTATGAAGATTTTGAAACTGTCTAAATGGAATACCCTATATACATAAAATATATAAATTATCTGTGTATAGTTAGATTATTTGCACTGTGGGTTATTGTTCTAAGTGCTCAGAATTCCTCTGGATATCGTGTGAATATTACTGGAGGATGTTCACATGGAGTTCACACAGTGTGTGTGTGTGTGTGTGTGTGTGTGTGTGTGTGTGTGTGTGTGTGTGTGTGTGTGTGTGTGTGTGTGTGTGTGTGTGTGTGTGTGTGTGTGTGTGTGTGTGTGTGTGTGTGTGTGTGTGAGATATTTGAGTGCAGTATGTGTGTAAGTGGATTCATGTTTGATATGACATTCTCAGACACTAGTATTGTTTACCTGTAGTGCTGCTGTCTTTATTTTTATTTTATTTGGTTGTATTTTTGTTGTTTAAAGTGAGAGCTCACTGTTCAGCCATGCCTGTCAGATTTCCAAATAAAACTCAACCTCCTCCAAAACCTCCTCAYGCCTGTTTCATCCTTATTGTTTGGTGCAAACATAAAGCTGTTGGACCTTTTATTAATAAACCTTTAATTTGGACAACAGGGGTCTGCAACCTGCAGCTCTTTCAAGCTTTGACCAAAACTGAGATTTAGGTTTGTTTTTGTTAATAGAACAGTTACAATAGTTTTCCTGGATTATCTAGCTTGTTGGTCACTTCAATCAACTTCCAACCTTACAGCATGATCCATGTAAATCCATTAGGATTCTCTTCAAGACAAGTTGCTGATCAGTTCTAGTCTGTTGTATAGTATATAATGGAACATGATTTCTCACAAACGTATTAGTGACATTTTAATGTATGTAATTGAAATGTTGCTTTTTGATCTAAAATGACCCAGAATTTACCTTAAGTTGAACACAACCTCAAGAACAGACCTCTTTCAAACTTTATATATTTAAAAACAACATAGAAAAAGGTGAATTTAATCATGAGATTTATTTACAAGTCCTGAAAATACCAAAATGTTCAGATTTTTTTTCTTTCTCCCCTGCAACTGTACAGCCATAGTTTAAAGAAAGGAAAAATAAAAACAGCTCAAATACAAACTGCATGAGGAGTGGATTGGGACCACAGAACTGTTTCACCAACATGCAACTTATTTTCTGTTTGCAACCTATATAAAAAGTTTCAGAATAAAAGCATAATGCAAAGAATCTGTTAAAAATGTATGTAAAATTTTGTTAAAACATGTTTGAATGAACATAAGTACACACAAAAAATAAAAGGTTAGCATTAAAAGTCTTGGCATAGAAAATCRCTTTTTATTAAAGAAAACAAAAAAGAACATTAAGAGCAATGAATAGTTGCTTGAAAGTGAAATGCTTTTGTCAAAATTAAAATAAACCACTAGAAAAAACAAAAACATTAGATTTGAAGCAATCAGAGGTTTTACTTACAGATTATTAATATTTTTTTGTTTGTTTTATAACAGACAATAAGAAACATTTCTTGTCAGCAGAAGACAAAACGATACAAAGTGCATTCTGGTTTTTATTACTGGGTTGTAACATTTAGGTGACTGTTTTTATAAATCCATATCTTATCAACATTTACAAAAAAAAAACAGATTCTCACTGATAACTAACAAAAGTCAGTAAAACAAGTAACACTACTTTGGTAATATATTGATAACATTTAGGTTAAAATCACCACTTATTTTTGCATACAGGACATAAAAGTTTATTTTTCTTTTTTTAAATCCCTCGTTTTTCAAATATACCATCACGACCACCAGATTTTGGCCTTTCTTAACGCCAGTGTTCCACTGCATGTTAACATTCCTGCATTCCTCCCACACATCAACGGTAACAATCTAAGATGGTTACTGAAACGCTTCACTTGTGAAGGAAAAGGTTCAGACAGTGACGTGTGCTAAATATAAAGATGTGTGAGGATAAGGTCCTGGCAAGGATGTGGCAGCAGCTGCCTCTRCTCCATCAGCTCCAGATGTTTTCATCCACAGCCGAAGCTGGCAGGACCTGCAAAACTGGAAGCCACGATGGGAGTGCTTGGACAGACACGAGGCTCTGAGCGGAGCGGTCACGTCCAGCGGCACCGTTTCCTCTGACAGGCCTCGGGGTCAGACGTACACCCCTCCGAGTCGCTCTCGGAGTGAGACGATCCGGCCAAGGGGGTTGCGGGTAGGTGGAGGGACGGCTCGGGCCTGTCCGGGCTCTCTTCCGCGGTGCCTCCGTTCAGGCTGAGCACCCAGCCCAGTTTGTTTTGCAGCAACTGGCGCAGACCCGGCGGCAGAGGCAACGCGTCGAGCGTGTCTATGCAGTCCGGYACCAGGCGGCGAAGGCGGGCGCAGCAGAGGTACAGCAGCGAGGTGGGGGCCGAGCACGACCTGATGACCTTCATGCTGCTTTTGGCGGCCGTGGAGCACGCCATCGGATAAAACCTCCTATGGTGTAGCTCCGTGGCTGCGACACCTGGATGGAGGAGGATAAACACACTCAGWTTGATGCAGAAATTGTTTCGACAACGGGATCAGAAAACTGCACACACTGTATGATTGGAGTAAGAAAAAAAAACTTTAAATTAAAGGGATCCACGATTAGTTGTAACATTAAACTTTATTTGATAAACATTTATTTTAACTGTAAAATAAAGACTGTAAAAATACTGTAGGATGTTTAGTTTAGTAATTTTTTTWAAATATATTTTAACACGGACGGGGCCATTTTATTTACACACAAAGCATTCTGGGTAAATGATGACATGGATAGGTCCTTGGTGCGAGGCTGCTAGTGAGCTATATCCACCCTGAAGGTTAATCTTGGACAATATCTGACGATCGACTCTTTTAAATGAAACCACAGAGCGTTGACAGAGAGGAGAACGTAGAAATGACTCAGCCTGTAACTGAAAATATGGATGGAGGACAACAGAGCTGCTTCATGGAAGAAGAACCTCAGCTTAGCCTGTTAGCCTTTGGGCTAACAGGCTATATTGCTTATATTGCCTTATATTGCCAAAAGATATATACGCTATATTGCCTTATATGTATTAGCTCGGTGCTAGCGTGACAAACAAGCCAAACTGAGGTCCTCCATCCATATTTTCAGTTACAGGCTGAGTCATTTCTACCTTCTCCTCTCTGTCAACGCTCTCTGGTTTCATTTAAAAGAGTCAATCGTCAGATATTGTCCAAGATTAACCTTCAGGGTGGATATAGCTCGCTAGCAGCCTCGTGCCAATAACCTAGTTGATGTCATCATTTACCCAGAAAGCTTTGCATGTAAATAATTGCATGTAATTTGGCTCACTCCCATACCTCTGCTCTATTAAGTTTTTAATATAAATTACACAAAGTTTCAGTGTTTTTATTTAAAACCCTTAAGTATCTCAAGAAAGTAAAAGGAGCCTTGAAGTCCACATATAAAGGGCTGCACAATATATCAGATTTATCGTCAACAGCCTGTGCAAAATGCATATCGCAAAAAAACCTGCATAAATTGCAATAAATAGTTGGCTCAAAAGTTTGCATTTTTGTGTTTTGTCACCCAAAAGCTTGAAGTATTTCATGAACCAAATGGAGCTCTTCGTGTATTTGGCCAGTTGGATGGATCTCTTCATATTTTAAAATAATTCATGCCGGAATAGAAATGATTAGTTTTTGTTGTTTTTTGTTCTGATCCCAGAGCAGAAAGACTCCAACACTACATATTTAAGTATTTGTTCATTTATCGCAAGTCATATAGTCATCGCAATATTAAGCACTGTTTTCGCACATCTTAGGTTTTCCTAATATTGTGCAGCCCTATTTAGAATGAGCTTTAATCAGTAGCAGATTCTGTACCAACCTAAACACTTGCGATTTTTGAAGAAAGTCAGAGTGCCGTGCCACGTATCCAGATGAACTCCAATGATGGACCCTTGTCCAAAACAAGAAGAAAAGTTCATCTTCTTCCCTTTATGATGCAACAAGCCTGCAAAAAGAGCATCACCATTTGTAACCACAGCTGTATCAAGCAACTACTGTGTTACATTAGTATTGATCTTACCAGTGTAAGAGAGGCCCCAGCTGTCTGCATCTTTCCCCAACAAGCTGCAGAACGTGTGCCTGTATTTGTCTAGATTCACATCAGATGTTCCAACTCCAACCATCTGTTTCCGAAATAAACATTTAGTCACAGAAGCCTGTGGCTCATAGCAGAGGATGACAGCGAAGCTCAAAAGCGGAGGTTTACCATATCTGTTCCGTACACTGGAGACGTCATCTTAATTTCCCAGAAGTGCTGCCCTTCAACCAGCTCCCTGGAGCCGCGGACYGCTGCTGTACCACAGCTATAGTCAGAGTGGAAACTCACTTTGCGGTTGTCGCAGCTGAGCAACGTTGCTGTTGATCGTCCGCTCGTGTCCCAAACCCAGTCAAAATCTGAAACATGATCAGAGGTCGTCCATTTAATWTGGATGTTAAAAATGAAACACCGTGAACTTCAACTGGAAACAAATTAGCAAACACTTGTGAATTTTTATATTTTTGTGACATCAGACAGTGTAGAAAAACAAAATGGTGAATTATGACATGGTTGCTTCCTGTTTTACCTTGGTCGTCCTCTCCGCAGTGGCAGTCTTTGATTTGGCGAAATCCACGAATACGAGGGTTGTAACTGGTCTCGGCCTGGGAATCACAGCTGCAGTACGACTCTCCGGTAACAGGGATTGCACTGGGGACCTTAGAAATCATCACTCCAGAAATGTCTGCCTCTGAATCCGAATCACTGTACTGTGGGTGTCAAAATCCAGGAAAACAAAATTAAATATTCTTTTAAAATTGTTGTCCCGTGTGGAAAAAAAAAAACCTTGACCCTTCACAACTTTCTGTGAGTTGTATACGTACCATTCGGTCACACTCTTCGGCTTCAGAGGGTAACACGAAGGCCCGGACATCGGTGTCCTGTCGAATCCCATCCCAACTGTATTGCCAGTGCCACACATAATTGTTCCTGCTTCGTCTCGACATGTTCGCAACAGAGTCTCCTCACAAGTAGAAAAGCTGGACACTCTGTCACAGTTTAGTCCAGATGCTTGAAGCAGAGCATTAGTCCAGGTGCTGAAACCAAACAATGCAGTCCTGAGTCAACATTAAATCAGCAATGTCAGATTAACTGTTTGAGTTTTTTTTTTTTTTTTTTTACAATGAATATGCTCTGATCTAACATAGATGCTTGAAGGAAAAAATTCAACTTGGTAATCCTGTTTCTTGTTCTATAAACAAGACTGTGATGAGTTCTACGATAAGCTGTTGGTTGTTAATTTTACACCTGTAATAATCACAGAAAGAGTGGGAAAAACATACTTTTTGTGTGTGTGGAAAAAACAGCATATTACAAAAGACCACCACAGCACACTTTAGAYCAAATCATAGTTAATTTAAAAAGTAAAATATACTTTACGATAAAAAAAAAGGTCAGGAAGATTTTGCAAAATAAATTAATAAATCGCAACAATAACGAGACTGCGTTTTTTAATAACAAAAACACACATTCAAGTTGCACGAATTAAAGCTATCCTAATAAATATATTAACAAAAAATAATCGGAATCAACATAAAATAAACATTTGATGTGCGATGTTGTTTCCTTTGGCCCGCGATTTAGCCAAGCTAATGCTAGTCGCTTACAACTGCTAACTCGACTTTAGCTTGTAGACGATCACGTACGTCTAAATTATGTCATAAAATGAAGACTACCATCTTGATGATTTATTACGCGTAAAAACTACAAAGCAGCGATTTAGAGTACATCCTAGTAGAAAGACATACCTCGAGTTGCACAAAAAGGAGCTAGCGTAAAGAAGCTAGCCTAGTTGTTGTTAGCGGCTAGAAAGCAGATTCGCGTTTCCTCTATGACTGGCCACCGGCGACACGAAAAGCTACTAAAACAAAAGAAATGTAGTTTCTTCACTGTACTGGTAATTTGCTAAAAGACGACTTGTGAACGACTGGGCGAACTCGCCAAAATACTAACGCAGGTTGTCAAACAGTTTGTGGTGCGCACCACCACCACCTACTGGTGTGGAGGATGGTTGTGTAGGCTTTCATAAAATTCATTCTGTTTAAATTAGGAAAAGAGCCGCAAAAACAATCAGTCGGTTATTTTTCAATTGTCATAGCACAAGGATATTATTTATCATTTGTAATATTATACCACATTTTCTATATTAGCATATTTGAGATTGTTAGTCTTCATAGAAAGAATAAAAAGAAAACTGTCAATTAATCTAATTATATTATTTGGAAAAACTCATTCTCTCAAATGCAAATTTTCATCAAATTCATTTTTTTTCTTCCAGTTTTGGTAAAGGAAATCAAACTTTGTTTATCTACTGTCTCTAAGAGCAAAACAAACAAACAAACAAACAAACACAGAAAAAAGGCTCTAAACAAAAATGAAGGCTGTAGGCCAATTAATGTATTTATTTTTTCGTAAAGTTTTTTTGTGCTAAATGTATTTATTGTAGAAGCCTATCCCCTGACATATTTTCTTACTTTGTATTTGTA